GCCTGCGCCTGAGCCTGCGCCTGCGGCCGGGCAAGCCTGGGGCCTGCCTGCGGGCTGCAGAAGCCGTAGGACACCCTGAACGGCAAGGCTTCGGCATGTAAAGAGCTAAATTATTCATGTATGAAGTCCTTCACGTAGCAATGATTTACTCACATTTGTTTGGATATTTGTGTTGATACTAAGCTATTTGCTAACCTGTATAGTGAAAGAGATACTCAAGCAGGAGTAAGGTGGTATTTTGTCAATTTAACATAGCCCTAGTTAAAGCAGGCAAAGAGACATTCTGCCATAACCTACACTTTACTGAGACTCTTCAGAATGAAAAAATGTGATTTCAAATAAACACCAAGCGGTAAGCTCCTTATTTTAAACATTTTTATTTGTTTAGAGTGATGTGTCTTTAACCACAGATGGAGAAGCAAAACGTAGGGTTTGATAAATTAGCATAAAGAAAACTATGCACAAGTCAGGATCATTTGTGTAAGAATGAACAAATTTTTATTTTATGAGTTGTTTTAGTTACTTAAAAGCAGCAAAAATGATACAATATTATAACAGCATTAAAGACATTTCTGTAGAAATACTAATTATGGCTTAGATATATTTTCTAATAGTGTCACTTATTGCAAGTAATATTTGATTATATATCTTTACTATTTCAAGTTTCATTTGTCTGCACTGACTTTGTGAGGAGCCAGATAGCAGTCAGTTCAAGAAAACTGACAAGGATTCAAAGCCATTATTTACTGAAGGAAAAATGTATTTTATATGATAGATATACAAGTAATAAAGTATATGATCTGCTTTGAAAATTAAGGAAATTGACTTTTTACTCTCACCAGATTAATAACATATTTGATAACTTTTTCCAGCTTTTAATACATTTTTCATTCATTAAGTAATTTAATCTCCCTCCCCCCCCACCCTGAGGTAGATGTAGTGGGATTGCAGGATCATATGATAGTTCTAATTTTAATTTTTGAGGAAACTCCATACTGTTTTTATAGCAGCTACACCATTTTGCATTTCCACCAACAGTGTACAAGAGTTCCAATTTCTCCACATTCTCAGCCACAGTTGTGTTTGTTTTTTTTTAATGGCCACCCTAACAGGTGTGAGTTGATATCTCACTGTGATTTTGATTTGCATTTCCCTAAAAATTAGTGATGTTTAACATCTATTCATATGCTTGTTGGCCATTTGTGTGCCTTCTCTGAAAAAATGTCTAGTCAAGTCTTTAGCCCATTTTTAAGTTGGCGTATTAGTTTCTTTGCTATTGGGTTTAGCTTTTATATTTTGGAAATTAAGCCCTCATGATTTGCAGATATTTTTTCCATTCTGTATGTTGCTTTTTTACTCTGTTTCCTTTGCTGTGCAGAAACTTTTTAGTTTGATATAATCCCATTTGTCTATATTTGCTTTTGGTGTCACATTCATGAAATTACTGCCAAGACTAACATCATAAAACTTTTTTCCTGTTTTCTTCTAGGAGTTTTGCAGTTTTAGAAGACAGTTGTTTTTTGTATATTGACCTCGTATCCTGCAATCTTGTTAAACTCACCTGTTCTAGTTTATTTTAATTCCACAGGTTTTTTTTTTACATTGATGATCATGTTCTCTGTGTGTCTTAGTCCATTTGAGCTGCTATATTAAAATACCACAAACTGGGTGGCTTATAAACAACAGAAATTTATTTCTCACAGTTCTGGTAGCTGAAAGTCTGAGATTAGGGTACCTGCACGGTCAAGTTTTGTGTCTGGGGAGCTCCCTCTTCCTGCTTATTGCTGTGTCCTCATATGGTTGGAAGGGGCCAGGGGCCTCGGTGGAATCTTTTTCCTAATTGCACTAATCCCATTCCTGAGGGCTCCACCGTCAAGACCTACGTACCTCCAGAAGGCCCCACCTTCCAATACTCATTGAGTACAGATATCACATTGGGCATTAGGATTTCAACATATGAATTTGGGGGGCACAAAAATGTTCGGACTATAACACTGAGAATACAAACATTTAGTTCTTTTCTAATCAAGATGCGTTTTATTTCTTTTCCATGCCTGGCTGCACTAGAACCTTCAGTGCAGGGTTGAACAGAAGTTGTGAGAGTGGATTTCACTGTATTGCTCCTGATTTTAGGAAGAAAACATTCCGTTTTTTACCATTCAGTCTGATTTTTTTGTAAATGGCCTTTATCAGGTTGAGGAACCTGAAAACAAAGATAAAGTTTTCCTTGTATCCTAGTTTGCTGAGAATTTTCTGTATTTTTTTAAAAAAATCAGGAATAGATGTTGGATCTTTTCAAAATTTTTCGTATCTATTGACATAGATCCATTTTGATCATGTGGATTTTCTTTCCAAACTTGTTGATATGGTGTATTTCTTGGATTGGCTTTAAAATGCTAAACCAACTCCATATTCTTGAGATAAACCTCACTTGGTCATGATGTATTATCCTTTTACTATAATGTTATATTTGCTAAAACGTTGTTTAGAATTTTTGCATCTATGTTCATGATGCCTAACATAGATGCATTTTGCATTTATGTTCAATTTATAATTTCCTCTCTTTCGCTCGCTCTTGTCTGGTTTTGGTAACAAGTTAATGCTGGCCTCATAGAATGAATTGAAAAGTGTTCTCTTGTATTTACATTTTTGGAAGCATTTGTGTAGAATTAGTATTACCTTAATACTAATTCTTATTTCATACTAACCCTTAAATGTTTAGTAGAATTTACCAGTGAAGCCACCTGGACATGGAGTTTTCCTTGTAGGAAGCATTTTAACTACAATTTCTGTTTCTGTTTCTTTAGTCAATATGTGTCTGTTTATGTTGCTCATTTCTTCTTGAATAAGCTTGGCAATTTATGTTCTTTTAAGGAATTTTTCCATGTCATGTAAGTTGTTAAATTTATTAGCATAAAATTGTTCATAATACTGCCTTACTATTCTTTTACTATCTGTAGAACCTGTAATAATGTCACCTTTCTAATTTCTGATATTGGTAATTGTGCCCATTTTATTTCTTTAGCCTTTGCCTTTTTTGGCTTGGCAATGTGAGCCACCGACTTGGGACCAAGGACGTTGCCTACCCAGTGGTAGCAGATCTCATCATATTTGTCATTGTCATTGGTCCAGATAGCTTTCACCAGCTGAGCCAGAGCTCCTTTGTCTTCCAAGTTAATCTGTGTGAAGGCGAAAGTGGTGCAGGTTTTCCTGTGGACTAGACACCCCAGCATGGCGTTCCCCTTGATAATGCAGCAGGGAAACCCCATCTGACAGCACGGGGCAGGCAGGAAGACAAGCAGCTCGATGGGATCCCCATCATGTGCAATTACTGCCGGCTCATCTTCTTCTTCTCTACCAAGGTGGTGACAGTGTTAACCCCTGCTAGACAGGTGGCCTGTTGGTGGGGATATTCCCTTCGCCGGCAGCCTTTTTCTCAGCCCAGGCCAGCAGCCTCTGCGGCTTTCGCGTTGGCCCCTCTGTGCTGTGGGCCAGCCCAAGCAGCCGAGCCGCCTGGCAGACCACAGCCTGGGAGAACTGGCTCATTGCAGGCGGCACTTTCAGGTGCTTAGAGGAGGACAGCCCTTTGCCCCCGCTGCTAAGTGGAGCGGGGCCATTTGACAAAGCGCGTGAGGTCCCCTTTGGGCTGGGTGTCCTGTTCAATGCCAAAATTCTTAGGCATTTTCTCAAATGGGACTTACCACCGTTTTGGCCTGCCTCACGACAGCAGGGGCCAGTCCACCTGCTTCCTCTTAGCCTTCTTTCCTCTCTGTGTCTCGGGCGGCGGGAGGAAAGACCCTTTTTCTTTTTTATTGATCCGTCTAGCTAAAAGATTTCAATTTTGTAGACCTCAGCCAGCTTTTGGTTTTATTGATTTTCTCTATTGTTTTTCTGTTTTCTGTTTCACTGGTTTCCACTTTAGTTTTTAGGTTTTCCCCCCCTTCTGTTTATATTGGGCTTAATTTGCTTTACTTGGTCTAGTTTTTAAGATTTTTCATAAATTTTCCCCTAATATTGCGGTTTTTTGGTATAGATTTCTTCCCATAAGTACTGCTTTGGTGGCATCCCACAAATTCTGGTGTGTTGTGTTTGCATTTTATTTGGGTTGAATGTCAATCAGATTCATGATGACACATGGCTTCCAAAGTTCCCTCCAGGTGTCTCCATCCCAGCTAAACCCGAAGGAGGAAGAACATGGAGAAAGATGCTTGGGAGCTTTTTATGACATCACCTCCACTCAAATTCCGTTGGTTAGAACTCCGTCACATGGCTTCACCTAATGGTATGGGAAGCGGGGACATCTAGTCTAGCTTTTTGCCTGGGAAGAAGAGGAAAATGTATTTGGACAAACAGCCAGCAATCTCTTTCTATTTTCTGGAAGAGCTTGTATAAGATAAGAAATACTTGAATCATGGGTATACAGTAGAAATTATAAAGTTATTGGGGCCTGCTTTTTGTTTTGGGGAAATTTTGTAATTGCTGATTCAATTTAATGGATACATGTTCGTTTAGGTTTTCTATTACTTCTTGAGTCACTTTTTGTAAGTCATTTTTTAGGTATATATAATAATTAGTATAAGTTTTAAAACAGCATAAATTTGTTAAAAGTATTTTCTTATTTTAATCTCTGCTATAGTTTGTTTGTTCTTCATTTTTAATATTGTTTACTTATGCCTTCTTTTTTATTTGGTTAATCTTAGTAGAGATTTGTCGTCTTATTAGTCTTTACCAAAAATCTTAATTTGTATTTCATAATTTCTGTTCTTTATTTCTTTCCTCTACATTACTTGGGTTTATTTTGCTGGTCCTTTTCAACTTGTAATTTGAATGCCAAGCTCATTATTTTTCAGATTTCTTTTCTAATATATGTATTTAGGGTCATACATTTCCCTTGAATTTGGCTCCGGCTTTGTTGCTGCAAGTATTTATACAGAGGGCTTTCACTATTGGTTAGTTCCATGTATTTCCATTTATTTCTTCTTTAATGCATGAATTATTTATGTGTGATTATAAGTATCCATAAGTATGGAAGCTTTCAGATACATATTAGGTTATTAGTTTCAGAATTAATTGTGTTATTTTCAGAGAATGTGTTATGTCTTTATAAAGTCCTTATACTTGTTCTTTATTACCTTCATCCAACTTTTTGTAGTGATTGATAATCAAAATATTAAAATGAATGCCTTATTTTGGAAGACTGCAAAGAATACTAGAAAAATAACAAAAATTCACAGCTGGACTGGGAAGGGAGAAAACTACTTAAGAAAAACGGAGGTGAAAGCTGTAGAAAAACAAATAAAGCCAAGGTCTCAGTTCCTGGCAGGGTCAGAGAAATGCACACTGGGCCCTAATCAGCATGATTAGGATCTTTAAATTTATGAGAATTGCACAGTACAAAATTCAGGTCTCCCAATTTCCTAGTTAATGTCTTGACACTACACTATGTAGTATTGCTTGAAATATTATATTGTTTATTTTTACCTGGAGATTGAAGATACATGCATGAAATATTCTTTTATAATTTATTTGTGTAGGTTTTTCTAATCACTTAACCTATTTTCTGGCGGCGGCTGCTGTTGCCTTTGGAATTGGTTTCTTTGCTTTGGCATCAGCTTTGTGGTTCCTGATTTGCAAACGAAGGTAAGTTTTATCAGAGTATTTTACTTAATTTCCAGCCTCTCAAATCTTAGTTTTCTTGGGTTCATAAACATCTGCATTTGGGAATTAATGGTGTAAAGAAAATTTTATAAGGCTATATACCAAAGTTGTATTTATCTGCAGTTCATTCTTTTTTTTGATGACTAGCATCCCATTGTATGAATGAATATACCTGAGTCTGTTTGTTCATTCTTCTGTGACATTTGGGTCATTTCAAGTTTTTAGCTGTTAGGAATGAGGCTGCTGTGAACATTCTTGTATAAATATTTTTGTACATGTGCTTTCACTTCTGTTGGGTAAATACTTAAGAGTGAAATTGATGGATCATATGATTAACTTTATAAGAAACTGCCAGTTTTCCAAAGTGGGTGTACACTCCAACTGGCAATATATGAAAGTTCTGATTTATATTTTTAAAATATTTTTCTTCTCTGTGAAGCCTGAATTTTAATGGAGCAAGGGTGAAAGCAGAGAGACAAGTTAGGAGGCTTTACATAGTCCAGGTGAGAGATGATAGTGCCTTGGACTAATATGGAAGCAGAGGAGGTGAAAAGGAGTTGGATTTGGACTGTGTTTTGCAGATAAAGTTAGCAGGGCTTGATGAACCGAATGAGGTAAGGAAAGATGAAGTGAAATGGCCAAACTAATGCTAACACCTACATATTTACCGGGAGCAACTGTTTAGTTGTTCATTCCATTTACTGAGATAAGATGATTGTAGGAGAGAGCAAGCTGAGGGAATGGTAATAAACTAGGAGTTGTATTTTGGATGTACTTTTGAAAGCCTATTAGACATCCAAATGGAAATTTCAAATAGACAGTTGGATATGACATGAACTTCAGGAAAGAATCTAGGACTGAAGATTTAGGTTCTCTTAATGTCATAGAACTGGATGAGACTAACCAGGGAGTGATTTGGTTTATTATTATTATTATTATTATTATTATTGATTGACTTTAGAAAGAGAGGAGGAGCGGGGAGAGAGACATCAATTTGCTGTTCCACTTATTTTATGCATTCATTGGTTGATTCTTTTTTAAAATATGTTTTTATTGATTCTAGAGAGAGGGCAAAGGAGAGGGATAGATAGAAACATCAATGAGAGAGAAACATCCATTGGCTGCCTCCTGTACGTCCCCCACTGGGGATCGAACCTGAAACCTGGGCATGTGCCCTGACCAGGAATCGAACCAATGACCTCTTGGTTCATGGGTCAACACTCAATCACTGAGTGGTTGACTGGGGATCGAACCCACAACCTTGGCCTATTGGGATGATGCTCTAGCCAACTGAGCTACCCGTCCAGGGCTTGGGAGTGATTGTTGAAAGAGAAAAACCTAGGATTGTACCCTTCAGCCCACCAACAGTTAGAAATTTAACAAAGAGTAGGAAGAATCAACAATATCTGGGAAACATGTCAAGAAAGGCAAAATTATGACATTATGAACATGTTTCAGGAAGACGGCAACAACCAGTTATATTCAAGATGCTTAAGAAGTTGAGAAAAGTGAGATTAGAGAAATAATTTTTGGATTTGGCAACTTGGAAGTTATTGGTGACCTTAAAGAATTTTGATGGGGTGATAGGTTCAGAAGCTTACCTTTGAGTAAAACACAAGAGTTGAGAATATTGAGATAAGTATAGATACCTCTTTCAAGAAGCTCTGTGTGCGTGCGTGTGTGTGTGAAGGGGGGTTGATAAATGGGGCAGTAGCTGGAGGAGAATGTGGGGTCAAGGAAGAGTATTTTTTTCTAAAGATGGAAGACATACTTGATATCTCCCTTACGCCTTCCCATCCCCCTAAATTTGAACCATCCCCAAGTTCTATTTCTTTTACCTCATAAATTTCTCAGATCTATCCGTTTCTCTCCGCCACATTGCCGCCACCTTGTCCACGTTATCGTATCCCCCACGTAGACTGCTGCAGGAGTTGTAAGTGACCCCTGCGTTCACTGTCAGCCTTGTTTGATCTCTCCACACTTAAGCCAGACATTGTCCAAACACAAATCTGATCAGGTGATCCCAGCCTTGCACCCCATCCCCACTCTATTATACAGGACTTCTCATTGCCTTTAGGATAAAGACAAAATGACATGACTTTTAAGCCCCCACGTGGTCTTCCCATGCATACTCCCCAATTTTATCTCCCACTTTCCCTCTTGCTTTCTATGCTTCTGCCACTTTACATACAGCACACAGCCACTAGTCTTTGGACTTGATATTCTCTCTGACTAGAATATTCTTACTCCCACCTGTCCTCCTCCACCACACTCTAATAACTACTATTTCTTCACATGTCCAATTCAATTATCCTTCCTCAGAAAAGCCTTCCCTGACCCCTCTAAGCAGATTAATTCCCTGTGTTATATAGTACTCACACAGTACCAGGTAGCCTTCCTTGATGACACTTCCCATACTTGTAATTTTTCATCTTATTGTGATTATTTTATTGTCTGTCTTCCTTACTAGTGTTTAAGTTCCATGAGAGCTATGACAATTCTATGAGGGTAGTGACTGTTTATTTTCCTTTGCCACTATATACACAACACCCGGCACAGTGCCTGACACATAGTAAGTACTCAATAAATATTCATCAAGTGAACTTAATTCCATAAATGAATAAATCCTAATTGTTAATACCTCACTAAGTAACATAATATACTCTTGAATTAATTTGGAAATTCTCTAGTATCTCTGAAAGAAGAAATGGCAATTAACATTATTATTTAAATCAGTAAGTTTAGAATGACTGTTAGAAACTACATTGCCTTTACATATCTGTCTTTGATCATCTGGGGTTTTACTTGCTGTTTTGTTATTTTAAACTCTCTCTTAAAATTGTTTGCGGTTGCATGGATAAAGATCACAGGTACTCTTCTTTTGTAAGTCATTAGTTACAATTCAGTTTCCTCCCACTTTTGTCAGAAACATTATTAAATATAAAATTGACCATTGGGTTTCATTTCAGTTAATTTCCTTTGTCATTAAAGGTAAATTTCTGAAAAGACTAACATTAAAGTCAATTAATTTTCTCACAGCCAGAAAAAAGGATATAAAAAACTCATGCTTACATACGATTTCACTTAAATATGGACTCTAAAGAACAAAATAAATAAACAAAATAGAAACAGACTCATACAGAGAACAGACTGACAGTTGACAGAGGGGAAGGGGGTTTGGGGACTGGGTGTAAAAGGTGAAGGAATTAAGAAATACAAATTGGTAGTTACAGAATAATCACTGAGATGTAAATACAGCATAGAGAATATAGTCAATAATATCATAGTAACTATGTATGTGGCCAGGTGAGTACTTGAAATATTAGGGGGAACCACCCTGTAAAGTACATTATTTTCTAGCTACTATGATGTACATCTGAGACCAATACAGAACTATATTGAATGTAAACTGTAATTGAAAAATATTTTAAATTTAGAAAAATCATGGTTGATCTTCAAACTATAAATATTAACCCTGCATAAGAAGCAGTTTAATTTACATTCTATGAATAAAATAAGTATAATCAGTAACATACGAGAAGGGAATATATAAATTGACTTGTGCATTTAAAAATAAATATGTAGTAATGTATTTATTCTGATTTTTAAACCCTTATATGTAACTATTGGAAACAAAATAAATTTTTTATTTTTACTTTTTAAAAATATGTTTTAATTGATTTTTAGAGAGAGAGGAAGGGAGAGGGATAGAGAGATAGGAACATGGATGAGAAACATCAATTGGCTGCCTCTTGCACGCCTCCCACTGGGGATCAAGCCCCAAACCAGGGCATGTGCCCTGACCAAGAATCAAAGCGGTGACCTCTTGGTTCATGGGCCGACACTCAACCACTTAGCCACACCGGCTGGGTGGAAACAAAATAATTTTCATTGGTTTATAATACAATTCATTTTTAATAACATTCTCTATAACATATTTTTCAGAGAAATATTTCAAAATTCCACATTTAAAGCAACTGATGAGAGATGCAGCCAAAGATCATCAGAGGCGGAGAGTAAATCTCATTCTCAGTGTGTTTTTATTTCTCGAAATTTTCATACTGGAATATTCCAATTACAGGTAGAGTGCAATTTTTTCAAATAATTTTTTTGATACCATGTCATTAGTGTTGTTGTCTTTCAATTTTGAAAGACAGAGTACCTACTGTTATTTTTCAACCTGAAGGACAATAACTTGAGCTAAATTTAAATTACCCAAGCTAGTTAGGGTTTACATTATAGGACGCTGAAACACTGAATGAAAACGTCTCCTTCTGTAGTTGCTTCACTAAGTCTCTAGCCTGAGAACCTACATTCCCCTATTCTGATTGTTACAGGGTGAAGATAAATGGCTAAGAAAAGCAAAGCAAAACTGCCAGGCCCATCAGAGGAAAGAGATACGGAGATAAGAGGGTACCCAGATAACCAGATAATCTAACAGAACCAACTGATTAAAATTAAGGACTTCCTAAGCCTTCATTATACTCCAAGCTCTGCCCAGCTCACCCCACCTCTCACACTGGGGACAGTAAGATAGGAACCTGACATTTGAGGTGCTAGCTAGTACAAGTGTGAAAGGCAGACACATAATTAACTTTTTAAAATGTGTCAAAAAAGTGCTAAGCAGAACAAGGGAAAGACCAGTAGAAACTGAAAGCAGATATAGCTAAACAAAACAAATACTTTAGTGGTTTTGTAACATTAATAGTAAAGTATCAACAAAATGATAAGATGTCAAACTTTCACTGTACATCTTGAATATTGAACTCAAGTTGAACTCAGTGTTTATTCATTTGTTTAACAAACATTTTTTGAGTGCCTTAAATATGGCAACGCTAGTTTTGGCACTTAGTCTGCATAAACAAATAAGACATGAGTCCAGACCTAGATGATCCCAAAGTTAGTAGAGAAGAAAAACTGAAAATTATAACATAATGTGATAAGAGCCACAAAATTGAAGAAATGCAGACAAGGGAGCATAAATTAAGAGGCTTCCCAGAGAAGACGTTTAAGAAGTGAATAGAAGTTTGCCAGGAGGCAAGAAAACAAAGGACAGTATGTTCAAAGGCTTGTAGCAATGAAGGGAAGTAACGTGTTCAGAAAAATTTTATGTTTGGAGCCTAGGGTTTATAGAAGGGAGTGGTGGGAAAAGATTCTGGAGGTGACGTTGTGAAGAGCCTTATTTGTTTTCTAAGGGTTTTGGATCTTACCCCATAGTCTCTACAGATCCACTGGAGGCATTGCTTTACCACTACTAATTGTGTCATTTTAGGCAAATTACTTAACTTCCTTGTGTCTCAATTTCCTCATCTGCAAAACGAAGATGATTTCATCTCCATAGAATTGTTACAGGAATTAAATGAATTAGTATACAGAAACACTCAGGATAGTACCTGGCCACATAGTGAGCACAATACAAGTATACCTTTAGTATTACTGGAGGGCTTTAAACAGGCAGGTTTAATGATCAAATTAATTCTAAAGGTTATTAAAGAAAGCTCTGACTTTCCAATGAAGGATAATTTGAAATAGAGATAGCATTGCAGAGAAAACAATGTTTCTGTGTATGCATTTAATATTAATTGAATTTACTGATAGCCACCACATGCTAGGAATTTTGGTAGGTACTATTGATATAATGGTGTCTTCATATCCAATGATGGATACATACCAAAAAAGATTACAAAAATGTCATGAGCGCTATGATGAAAGAAGTACATATATAAGAGTACTAGATTTTAATTAGACTGTCTATTATTCATTCAGCAAATATGTAATAAATGCTTATGTACTGTTCTAGGCAACTGGAAATTTGATAGTGAACAGGAGACAAGAGTCCCTGCTTCCATGAGATTTATAGTCTAGTGGGAGAGATAATGTACAGGCAAACACAAATTTGGGACTCTTGATGGTCAGTGAAAGGAAGCTAACTCGGAGAAAAGATGTAATAAAACACAGTGTGAAAGCAGAGTGTAGGCAGTGCTGACCGCAGCCACCATCAGTTTCAGTATACAAAGGACTCTCTCACGCGTCACTCTTTTACTCGCCTCAGCTTCTGCCTCTTTCCTACTCCAACAGGCAAGCAGGGTGAAAATTCTTTTTACAATATTGTTTGATTAATATAGAGCTACAGCTTGGTTTCTAAAAGAGCTTTTCCTGTGAAAGACAACATACATACAAAAGAATATACACAGGAGGTTTAAAAAATAATAAATGGAATTTTTATACCTGCCACCCAGACAAAGAAACAGAATATTACCAGTACCTTTGAGGTGTCCTAAGTCTTTACCTGTTACATCCCACACCCCCACCCTTCACTGAAGGACCCACTATCCTGCAGTTGCAATGAACTATTTCCATGCTTTTCTCTATGGTTTTGCCATAAATGTTATAGATCCTTGAACAATGTACTATTAAATTTTATGTTTTTGGGCTCCATGTATAATATACTCTTCCCTTTTTGTGTAATATTACATTTCTGAGATTCATCCAGGTTGGCGCATATACCCATAGTTCATTATTTTTACTGTTATATGGCATTCCATTGTATGAATACATCAAGTTTTATGTTTATATTTTAATTTTTGATAATCTGATGACTGTGTAATAGTATCTCACTATAGTTTTTTCTAAATAGACTATTTTTTTAGCAGTTTTAGGTTCATAGCAAAATTAAGCAGAAAGTAGAGTTTCCATATACCCTTTGCCCCCACACTTTCCCCCACTATGAACATCCAGAGTAGTACATTTGTTATAATTAATGAACTTGTATTGGCACATCATTATCACCCAAAGTCCATAGTTTACATTAGGATTCACTCTTGGTGTTACACACTGTAGGGGTTTTTTGGGGGGGGAAATGTATGTATATGATATATATTTTATATATATATATATGGGGGTGTATATATATTCAAAACCATAGAAGGGGGCGGGAGGAGGGAGGATGGGAGAAGGAAAGGAATGGGGAGAGAGTATCATACAGAATAGTTTCACTGCCCTGACAATGTTGTTCTTCGCCTGATCATTCCTCCCTCTCCTCTATCCCTTGGCAAGCACTAACCATTTTACTGTTTCCATAGTTCTGCCTTATTCAGAATGTCATATAATCAGAATCATATAGTATGTAGCCCTTTTAGACTGATTTCTTTCACTTAGTAGTATGCATTTAAGATTCTACCTGGCTTTTCAAGGCTTGAAAGTTCATTTCTTTTTAGCGCTGAATAATATTCCATTGCATGGATATACCGCAGTTTGTTTATCCACTCCCTTACTGAGGGACATCTTGGTTGCTTCCAAGTGTTAGCAATTACGAGCAAAGCTGCTATATGTTTTCAACTCATTTGATCAGCAATGATCATAACTGCTGGATAGAATGGTAAGAGGTGTTTAGTTTTTTGGAAACCGCCAAACTATCTGCCAAAGTGGCTGTACCAGTATGCATTCACACTAGCGTTTGCTGGTCAATGTTTGGGATTTTCACCATTATAATAGGTATATAGTGCTTTAATTTGCATTTCTCTTTTGACATATGATGTTGAACATGTTTTCCTATGTTTATTTGCCATCTGTGATGAGGTATCTGTTTAAATCTTTTGCTCATTTTTAATTGGGTTGTTCATTTTCTTATTGTTGAGTTTTAAGAGTTCTTTATATATTTTATTTTTATTTATTTTTATTTTTTATCTTTATTGTTGAAAATATTACAGATGTCCCCTTTTTTCCTCATTGACCCTTCCATCCCACACCCACTCCCCACCCCAGGCCTTCACCACGCTATTGTCTGTGTCCATGGGTTATGCATGTATGCATATAGATTCCTTGGTTGATCTCTCCCCACCCACTTACCCATCCACCCCCACCTTCCCTGTCTTTATATATTTTAAATAGCAGTCTTTTATCAGATGTGTTGTTTGCAAACATTTTTACCCAGCCTATGATTTGTTTTCTGATTCTCTTGATATCTCATTCTAGTTTTAATTTGTATTTTCCTGCTAAAAAATGAGGGTGATTGTCTTTTCTAAAGTTCATTGGCCACTATGATTTTCTCTTATGTAAAATGCATGTTCAAATCTCACCTCTTTTTCTATTTGTCTTTTTATTATAAAACTTTAAAAGAGTTATTTATTCTGGATAATTAATCCTTTGTCAGTTATGTTAATTTTTATATCTTCATCCAATATGTGGCTTTCCTTTTCATTATTTTTATGGTATGTTTTAATAAACAAAAATTTCTTTTATTTTTAATGTAAACTAATTTCTCAGCCCTTTCTTTTATGATTTATTATTTCCTTCCCTACTCCAAAGTCATAAAGATGTCCTTCTATATTGTTTTCTAAGAGTTTTATAGTTTTGACTACATAGGTCTTTAATCAATCTGGAATTGATTTCTGTGTTTGGTGTAAAAAGGAATCCAATTTCACTTTTTTTCCATATGTTTGCCCAACTGTCTAGTAGCATTTACTGAAATTCTTTTGGAATTTTAAGGGGAAATGCAGTGCAGTTTTAGATCAATTTAGACCAATTCTTTACAATACTAAGTTTCTAATCCATGAACATGATGTTTCTCTGTATTTATGTAATCTTTAATATCTTTCAATAAAGCTTTATAATTACCTTCATAAAAGCCATGCACATCTTATATGAACTTTTATTACAGGAAAATTTATGTGTTTATGCTTTTGCATATGATTTTTAAGTAAACGTTTTATTTGGAATAATATTAGATTTATTAAAAAAGTTGCAAAGATAATATAGAGTTCTATTATACCTTTCACCCAGTTTATCCCAATGTTAAAATCTTAAATTACCATGGTACATTTGTCAAAACTAAGAAACCAACATTGATATATTGTTATTAACTAAATTCCAGACTTTATTTATATTTCACCAGCTTTTATACAAATGTATTTTGCTCCTTCAAGACCTAATCCCAGATACCATATTGCATTTGTCTCTTTAATTTCCTTTGCTCTGTGATTGTCTTTTCTTGTTTTACCTGACTTTTACAGTTTTAAGAAGTGCTGATCGTGTATTTTGTAAAATGTCCTTCAATTTGGGTTTATCTGATGTTTTTCTTAT